AAGGATTGCGTTCCCTTTCACAAAGAATGTCCTGTCATGTCTCTGAGAAGATGCTCATGTACTTGATATATAACTTAGAAAATGAGTCAAGTGCTGAAGTGTAAAAGCCTTTTTCCATTAGGTGTGCATTACAGGGTCCAAAATATCCTGACAAAGGGCAAATATAAAGTCCCATGCTGACAGCAGCAACTGAAGGTGAAGTGAGATACCCTAAGGCATGTTAAATGGCCTAGACATCTGTACTGAGTCTTCTAACTTCCTCCCTTTGGTTATAGCCATATGTCAAATAGTGTCATACATGCATCCAGGACAGCTGCCTAAACGTGGTGCTCAGTTTAAGTTCATATGTCCTGTTTCTCAGTGCCTGTGGTTAGGAAGCATCTTCTTAGTGCAGTCCAGTGCTGCTCTCTTGGAGCTGTCTACTATCAGCCTAGCTTTGTGCTCCTTGGATATTTTTTCAGGACTATTGTCTCCCCATTTGCAGGTTTACAGGAAATGAGGACCCAGGAAGCAATGTCACTGACTTGTACCACCCCATACTTAAATCAGGGCACAGTCACTTATACGTGCTGGGAACAGATGAAGGGTTATTACAATGATCTGTAGATAGCACCAAATTTATGCACCAAATCAAGCAGCCTGCCATCTTGCCTTTGCTATACAGAAATCATGTGGAGAGGAAGAAACTGCTCACAAAGTTATCTTCACCTCTCTTGTTCCCAGTGTTTGGTGTTCTTGAATTGAAAGGAGGAGAACATCTCCTGCTGAAAGAAGTTGTCTACACTGACTTACTTCCATTAAAAAGTGCATGCTAGCCTTCTGATCTGCATAATGCCTTCTATGAGGTTGCTTCCCTGGGGCATCCACGTGTTGAGGGATGTCTTGTTTGAACAGTTGGCTCTAAACAGTTTCTAATCTGATCTATGCATGTAGCTAGGTCAGGTCTGGAGGTGTGCAGCTCAGGCTTGTGCACTAACAGTGGCTTTTGTAACAGAAAAGTTCCCATTAGAGCAGCACCTTGAGATGTGAGAGAGTATATTTATGCTGTTACATGATAACATGACTTATTAAAATTATTGTCACTCCAAGGGATCAACCATCACTCATAGGCTGATTTCTGTGGCGATGGCTCTAATAAGAATAAAAGAGGAATAAATGAAAGCTGTGTATTGCACATCTACAGAGACTTTGAGTGGTGGTTTCACACTGATGGTCAGATTTACTCCACCACACTGATGTCTTTACCTCCTCAGAGCAATGGGGAAAAAATACAGTGGAAAAAAGCTCATGAGTTGAGATAAGGACAGGGAGATCACTCACCAATTACCTTCAAGGGCGAAACAGGCTCAGTGCAGGAAGAATAATGTAATTTATTTAGATTAGAGCAGTGAGAAATAGAAGAACTAAAAATCTATTGAAAATACATTCCTTTTCAAAACTGGTGTGAGTCAATCTCCTCCACTTCAATGAGAATAATATATATTTTTTAAATTTAAACGTGAACTTCCTGTGTTTTCCACCTCCTTTCTTGATTTTTCTGGTACGTATCAAAATATTTCTTAACAGCACGTGTCACTGATATTTTCTGGGAAGCAGCCACCAGACTGCCTACAACGAGTTCAGGAAATCGTAAATGTCCTTGAGGCAAAAGAATTGACATCGTGGGGCCATGAAGTTCAAGCATATGCTGCCATTTCGGCTGTGCTCTGCTGTTCACTTGTTAAAGACTGACTTGACAGATGAAAGGCATAAACTCTGCCAGTATGTAGTGAGTGGAGACACGTGAAACATATGGATCCTTTCAAGAAAACGTGATAACCTCAAAGCATCTCTGCCTTCAACAAAGAAATGTTTTGTTATAAGCGATCCAAACATGGCTTTATTTTCTCTGAAAAGACACTGCTAATTAGCAGAGATGACAGGCAGCTTCTGTTCTCTCACTGAGGTTGCTCTTTTCTCCTTCTCTTTGTTTTCTGTCTTAGTTTCATTGTTCCTTGATAACTTCTTTAATGTCTGTTAGAATCATAGAATTGCTCAGGTTGGAAGAGAACTTAAAGATCACCAAGTCCAACCACAACCAAACCATACTACTCTAACCACATCCACCACGTTTGAACACATCCAGGGCTGATGGCTCAACCACCCCCATGGGGAGTCCATTCCAGTGCTTAACAACCCTTTCTGTAAAGAAGTTTTTCCTGATATCCAACCTAAACCTCCCCTGGCGCAACTTGATGCCATTTCCCCTCGTCCTGTCACCTGTCATCAGTGAGAAGAGACCAGCCCTGCTCTGCTGCAATCACCTTTCAGGTATTTGAAGAGAGCAATAAGGTCTCCCCTCAGCCTCCTCTACCTAAACAGCCCCATTTCCTTCAGTCTCTCCCCATAGGCCACATTCTCCAAGCCCTTCCCCAGCCTTGTTGCCCTTCTTTGGCCCTGCTCCAGCACCTCCATGTCCTTTCTGTACTTAAAAACTGCCCAAAACTGAACACAGGACTCAAGGTGAGGCCTCACCAGTGCCGAGTACAGGGGCAGGATGACTTCCTTGGTCCTGCTCTCCACCATTCCTGATCCAAGCCAGGATGCCATTGGCCTTCTTGGCCACCTGGGCACACTGCTGGCTCATATTCAGCCAGCTGCCCATCAGCACACCAAGGTCCATTCTGACTAAAGAAGATGCCAAAAATTGAAGGGTAAATCACACTCTTCTGTCCTTTGATTATAGATTGAATCTAAATCTTCTTTTTAAAGGACCCATAGGATAAAATTTGGGCATGGTGGGTTTCTAATGTTTCATATCCTTTAATGGACTTTGCATCCATCCATCCACTTATATGTTATGAACTCCAGTGGGCATTCAACATCAATGATATGGAGCTTCAGAGAATTCTGCAGCTTAACAATAAGCGTGTGAAGAGACATTTCTTATTGTTTCTTTGTATTCTGCCTCTGCAGACTTGGCAATTACAAAATAAAAGCTTTTGTAATCTGTACATGCTGAAGTGTATAGGAACTGTGAAGTTCTTATATTGAGACAGCTCCCAGGCACTCTTTTCAGACATGGACAGCTTTGTGAAAAGAAATTTCCCTATCTTTGATGAGGGTCAGGGGATGATGTAGTAAAAACTGTTATGTTTTTGAGAGATGGCAGAGGTCTGTGACAGGATATATTTTCCAGGCCCTTGGGAGCCCTTAAAACAGAAAGTGTTTTGTTTTGAAGATAAGCAACTCTAATATGGTTGTGCTTGGTGTGTCCCATGGGGCAGAGGGCTTAAATTTATTACTGGGACTTTGGAGATGGAACTGTGTAGCAAAAGCAGTTCCTTCCATTGGTGAGGAAGGCTTTCCATTAGAGGTTCATTATGACATCCTCTCTTTGAGGTAGGGTTGGTAATGGTTACAATGCCAAAAGTCTGCAAGTGGGTCCCTGCCTCTTTGCATAGAGAAGAGCACAACAAAGTATAACCATACTTGGGTTGTGTATGCTGTGGGATGTGTTGTAAGCATGTATTAGAATCATAGAATGGCTTGGGTTGGAAGGGGCATCAAGGATCATGGAGCTCCAACCCCCCACCAATGCAGGGCCACCAACCTCCACGTTTCACAGCAGCCCAGGCTGCCCAGGGCCCCATCCAACCTGGCCTTGAACACCTGCAGGGATGGATGGGGCATCCACAGCCTCTCTGGGCAGCTGTTCCAGCACCTCACCACTCTCACAGCAGACAACTTCCCCCTCACATCCAACTGAAATCTGCCCTCCTTCAACTTCAAACCATTTGCCCTTGTCCTGCCATTATCTACCCTTGTAAAGTGTGTGCTGGTTATTTGATGCATTAGTGTGCCAAACCATTCCCTCCATTTCATCTACTGGTTGTGAGGGAAGTAAAGGCAATCTGTGTGGATGGGATGCCAAAAATAAACTGAAACAGATTGGATTCAGGTGTTCTTTTCCCTACTTGCTTGTTTCTGTTTATCACTTGGCAGGTACACACCACTCCCTAAGTAATCCTCCATTATCTAGAGTGAAGAAAATGGGATGGGAAATACAGAACAACCAAGTAGCTTGCAGTGATCTGGGTTGGCCTACCCCATCTTCAACTAGCGTGTGGATTTTCATGAGACTTTCCACTGAGTTTGATTGGAACTTTAGCAGTACCCCTGTGAAATGGTCTAATGAAACCTGAGATTGTGTTTCCCTTGAATTGATATCCCCTAGCCACTTTCTGCAGCAGGAATGAAATCTTTTATTGATTTCTGAGAATGGGTCCCATTTTCAGTTTGTTGCTGCTTTGGGATTGCCTGCATTCTGTTGGCCACAATGTTCCTCTTGTACATTCATTTATCTTTTTTTATTTATTTATTTTTTTCCTCCTTTTTTCTTTTTTCTTTTTATTGTAGTGGGCTGCCTTAAGTCTTAAAGATAGAAAAGAAGTTTTGGATCAAGTCATTTCAGTTGCACTGGCATTGCATTTTGCTCTTGGCAAGCAGGCTGCCTTGTATTCATTGGAAAGAAAGGAAGAAGGAAGCATTAAAGAATGGACGGGGTGAAAGACTGGGAGCAAGAACTTTAATTTAGTTTAGGGTCCTGAGTGAGGTTAATGGATTGTGTGAGACTCATAAGAGAGTGGCAGAAGATCAAACAGAGCCTCAAATGATTTCTGATTCCTCTTTACATTATTTCTTTATTTGGAGGTAACCTTGCTTCTGCTTTATATGAGGAAGAAATGCAATAAAGCAAAGCAAACACATTGCAGATTGCACTTTGGTAGAGAGCAGCGTTAAAAACACTGTCTTATGAACACTCTTAAGCTTTCTGTCTAGAACAAACAAATAAACATCAAGAAGTCCGCTGCAGTTTCCTCTCGTCTATTAAAGATGTTTTTATTACTTTCTTCTTTCTGGAAGGGAACATCAAAACTTCCCGATGTCTCTTCATAAACTCTCCATCTATTTTACATTCATTACTGCTCTTTCACCACATTTTTTTTCTCCCATTTCAGGTTACAGCAACACATTCTAACTGCATAATTAAAAAGGAGCAAGAAACCTGTCTGGAGAAAATACGAAGGGCAGCTGCCTTGAACCCTCTTAATGACTCTTCTCCAGGTGAGTTTCAGTTTGGGATATGCCATATGCATTGATGTGAGGATTTCCAGACCTTTCCTGTTATGCCTGCAGGGTTTTCCAGCAATGTCATTGCAAACATCTTTCTGGAAAAAGTGCCGTCACTGCAGTTATTGAAGCTTAAAGAGACATTGTAAGGACAGAAAAAAAACTCAATCAATTGGGACACACTATGCTGATAGGTGGTTATTATCAGAGGTCGGGGATTTGCTTCCATACATTAGGTGAAGCAGTGACATATATTGACCAAATGAATCAAAACCATAATGACAACAGCAGCAAGAATCAGTGTGCCTTGGAAGGAAATGTCTTGGTAGGATGTTGGGGCTGGGGATTAAGCTGTAAGTGCTTCAAGTGCTCTACAACAGCAATTGCTCATTCCCCCTCATCACCTCAGTAATAAATTTTTGCCTCTCTATCATATGATCTGAAGACCTTTACAGGGATTAATGTTGTGGTGACTGTAATCTTGATAGAGATCGCTAAGAAACTGAGGCAGCAAGTAAAGAAATTAATGGTTTAATATCCTGTCTCGTTTCCCACTGACTGCAGCAGGAGCTGCCGATGGCCAGCACCAATGAGAGAAGGACAAAGAATGACAAAGCAGCTAATTGGAAATCAGGGCTTATTTTCTGAGTCGTGTCCAAACCGCTTCTGCTGTGACTTGAATGGGTAAAACTGCCGAGAACTGCAGATAAAACATGCTGTGTGTGTGTCAGTAAAGAGGGGAGATCTCCCTCCTCTTTACCTGGCTGCATATTTTAGCCCAGAAGCAAGAGAGGGGGTATGATGCAGATAACAGAATCATAGAATCATAGAATTGCTCAGGTTGGAGAAGACCTTCAAGATCATCAAGTCCAACCACAACCTAACCATGCTACCCTAATTAACAACCCTCAGGGTCAAAACATTCCATTCCATCATGTAGCTTGTTCTTTATAACTCACATCCAGAATAACCCTCTGCTTTTTGGTAACCCAGGTACTATTCAAATCAAACTCTGTGTCTTATCTATCTCAAATTCAAAGTGCACAGCTCAGAAATAGAGGAGGTCGAGTGCCTTTGGGAAGCCTTTTGCATCTTAGTGTGATGAAAATGTATCACCCACACGGGCAGGGAAAGATTACATCCTCTCAAGCACTACCTCAGCAAAAGAGGTAATGCTCTTTATTTTGTTCCCCATCTATTTTTTGGCTCCATCAACTTTTCCCAGGTTTACTATACTTTTATCTTCTGGAGCATGTGTCAAGTGAAGAGGGGCTCTTTGCTCATTGCTTCACATTTTCTCTTTTCTCTTGAATAATACATGAAGGTAAACAGGTGATGCCTCTGCAGTGGGAAGAGAACTGTTGCATGCACAAGGGCAATGAATTTGAGTTTCATAAATTTGCCCACACTTTTTTTTGTTGTTCACAACTTCCAAAGGCAATGAGTTCTACTGTGTACAAGACTTTAGAAAAAGAAACCACATTTCATCTGAGATGTTTGCTTTCCAGTGAACAATTCTGGCTTTTTTTCTTGCTAAAAAGCCATTTCTTTCAAGGGATCCTCTTTGCTGCCCTTTCTCCATACCTTTACTAGTTCCTGTGGAAGTGTTTTACATGTATTTCATTTCATCTTCAGTGCTGGTACTGTAACATCCCACTCTATCACTTTTAAGCCCTCACCTTCTAGACTTGCTTTTCAAGTCTGATCCTTAAGCCATATCCTGCCACTCTCATTTCCAGCAAGGTGTTATCTGCATTATTGAAGGATAGCACATCAACAGACCTGTTTTCTCAAAAACTTTGACATACTGCTTACTCTGTTTAGAAGAACACCTTGCTGGTGACTGCTAGCAATTGATGTACCAATATGACATACTCACCCCACAATGAATATTTGGAAAGCACCCAATTACTTCCAAAGCATTTTTGCTCCCAGTCTAAGTGGAATCAAGTGCTACTCACCATAGTTGAATCTGTCTTGTAAGTCACCAAGCATTGCTTGGACAAATGTGATGAAGAGGTAGTAACTTTTTCTTAATTGTTTGTAACAATAAGACATTAATGATGACAGGTACTGTGGTTCATCCTCCAAATGAGCTTAAACTATACTGCCTTGCTCTGAAAGCAATGTAGCTCCATAGTCTTCTGTTACATGTGATAAAAAGTCAAATAACTGCATGTAAAACACAAAGCCAAACTCTGTAATCTATATCTACTATTGTAATCTACAATATCTAAAACAATTACATCACAGAGTGCTGTTTAGTGGGCTGGGATTGGGTTGTTGGTAGGACCAGATGATGTTTTTCAACATGGATGATTCTATGATTCTCTGATTCTACAAATCCTACTACATGGGGGGTAAAAATTAATGATAGTAATAGTAGATTCTGTTGTCCATTTCTCTGCAGCAGTGTTTCGTGTAGCAAAAAGCACTGCATGAAAGGCAATGCACTACCAAGTTTGAAGTGGAAGAACATCTTAAAAGTTCCTGTATTTTGCAGTAACTCAACCCTCCTGCCTTTGCTTTGCCCCTTGCTGTGTTCAGCATCTGTGAGTGCAGACATAAACTAAATGGTTCCCCATAGCTCATCTGGATGAGGTCCAACAGAACACAGTTCTCAAGCTGCAACTGTAACCACGGGTCTCCAAAAGCAAGGCTGGTGCTCTATTAGAGAAAACAGCCGGCCCTAAAGTATCACGGCTCTGATGTTTTCACCTTTTTCACCCACTCTGCTTCTCATGCCCAGCTGTTATGCTCATTACTGTTTTATCTTTCACAGTACTGTTTTCCTTGCCTCTGCTGGTGGGCTCTGTCTGCAGTGCTTCAGAAACTGACTGCTTTGAGATTTTCTGTTGTTGTTTTTTTTTCCTTTTTCTTTTTTTTTTTCCTGTTATTTTATGTTGACTGTTTCCAATTAAGTGCTTTAAATTCTTCAGATGCCTTTATATGAAAAGAAATAAGGAGCATGTGATTGACCCTATGTGTACAAACCTGCCCAACCATCACCTACAAAGTATGCTTGAAAAACAGAATTTGAAGAAAATGAGATCTCAGCAGGACCCAGAATCTGACTTCTTTGCTCTAGAGAGGGAATTAAAGAGATAAGGACAGATAATGAAAGCCAAAAGCTGAAAAGAAAGGAGGAAGAGGAATGATTCCTCAGCGTCTCCAGGTGGAGGGACCAGACTATTTCTTGTGCCAGTATTTTCAGTCTCCCTTTGTTCCAGTTTTTGTCTCTGTTTTATTGTGGAGCTGCACAAGTTTCTGCTAGACCCTCTTCTAGCTGTCAGCAGTCCTCAGTGGACTTTCTGCCATGTAGAAACTGATTAAGAATCGTAGAATAATAGAATCATAGAATGGCCTGGGTTGCAAAGGAGAACATTGCTCATTTAGTTCCAACCCCTGCTATGTGCAGGGTCACCAACCAGAAGCCCAGGCTGCCCAGAGCCACATCCAGCCTGGCCTTGAATGCCTGCAGGGATGGGGCATCCACAGCCTCCTTGGGCAACCTGTTCCAGTGCCTCACCACCCTGAATTAGCTGAATCCCAAAGATTTATAACTAATTTCAGAGGTAAGAAGAGGCCTTTAAAGATATCTAGTCCAGCTCCCCTGTCATGGGCAGGGACATCTGCCATTAGACCAGGTTGCCCCAAGCGCCATCCAGTGTGGCCTTGATTCAGGGATGGGGCATCCACAGCTTCCCTGGGTAACCCATGCCATAGGAACAGGTTGCCCAAGGATGCCCCATCCTTGCAGGCATTCAAGGCCAGGCTGGATGTGGCTCTGGGCAGCCTGGTCTGCTGGATGGTGACCCTGCACACAGCAGGGGGTTGGAACTGGATGAGCATTGTGCTCCTTTGCAACCCAGGCCATTCTGTGATTCTGTGGTTTATAGAGCCTGAAATGTGTTATCCTAGAATGAGATGAGGGGTGATACATCACAACATTTTGAACAAAAAGAAAAAGAAGTGATGAGGTCTCATTGGTGATTAAGTGGTTCATGACTCACTGCCAAATTAATGTTGATGTTGTAGCCCTAGCTAGGTAGTCTCATTCCCCCTCAACCTTCCTCTGAAATAATTTGAAGGACAGTAGCATTGCCAGGCAAGTCAAGTAATGCAAATGGCATAAGTACATGTAGAGATACAGTGTCTACAGCTGCTAAGAGGAATCTTATCAGCAAGTGCCCCGTGATACAAATCAACAAAAGAGAAACTGATAATGGCACCAAAGGGTAGAAGGTGGTAATTAGGAGATAATGGAGGTAATTTAGGGAGAGAGGAAACCACAATGGACTTTGAAAAGTGTTTACATCTTCATATGACCATCGTGGATCAGTTTTAGATTTTCATTCCCCTCCATGGCTCATCAGCCTCCTGTTCTTTTGGGACCTTTTAGTTACCTGCTCTTGTATCCCTTGGCACCCCTGTGAAGTTGTTTCATTATGTGCCTGTGCATGTGTGCATGTGTCTCCCTTGTTGATGCAATTGTGCACAAAGACTAGATTTGTTCTTCTCACACCAAGCTTTTAAAACTGTTAAATTGCCAGTGCAGGGAGGGTATGGCTCAGAATGTGTCTCTACCCCTAAATGTTTTGTCTCCTATTGTAATCAAGATACTGACACTGATAGCTTTGATCTGCCTGAATGGGCCTATCTTAGGTCAAAGATGGTTTTCTGTGCTGATGGATCTATCCATGTGACACTGCATAGAGTCTCTTCTACTGTGCTCAAATAGAAACAAGGAGGAGTTTCAAGGTAGAACATAGAGACCATGCAATACTGGGATAGAATCCATGTCCAGATATCTATCCTGCATAGAGAAACAAGACACCTGTGCAACTATCAGTATCTGAGCTGTGATCAAGCCTTACTCTTTCTTAGGCAAATAGACGAGAAACAGATTCACTGATCTTTGTTTTCCAACCATTGTCTCCTTCTTCGGCTCCTTGCTGAATGCTTTATCTGTCAACAGGCTTCAGAGAAATCTG